CCCAAATTTAAAAAAAAAAAAAAAAAAAAAAAAAAAAGAACCCAACATTTTGTTAAAATAATTTTCCAATACTTATTTACCCACCTTGTACTCTGTAAAGGTTGACTAATCAATCAGACCTTCTAGTAATTTCTGCACACAAAATTGACAAGAGGTTAGAGAGCTGGAGAGGAGAGAGAAATTTAAAGAAAAGAGCTAGCAGAATCACAAGTATGGCATGAATCATTGCCAATTTGCCATAATGTGTAGTTTCTTGTCAAAACTTCTGATTTTCCTATCATTATTTCGTGATTCTTTTTCAGTCACCCGAAAAAAAAATAATTAAAAAAGAATCACCAAATATTATATAAAAAGTGTAGTAACCGCGCATGCATCTTCATTTCACCAACACGAAAATCATAAAGTTGCAAATGTGAAAGTTAAGCAACTCAAAATTCAACAAGAACTGGGATTTCGGTAACCCCTAAAATAAAGCAACTCCACTGAAATGGAAATCGTCTAAAATAAAATATCTCTCAATCGCCGAAATTTGAGAATTGCAAGTAAAGGCTCCTTTAAGCAAACAACAACAATACAAAAAAATATTAGTTAAAGAAAAAAAAAAGAATTCAGCTACAAGAAACCAACTATATTGCGAACTTTCAACTCCAGGAACTTTCAGATTTTACATAATTTTGTCACCTCGTTTGGATTGTCAGAAAACGTCTTCTGTGAAATAATCCAGAAATTCATGCTCCCGAAATATCTCTTTCCAAATTTTCCCACCAACCAAACGAGATAATTTTAAATCATCATTTGAGAGTTTACCATCAAAACTGAGTTACAATTCTGTTCCTGCTTTGCAATTGACGAGCGTAAGAAAGAAAACTCAATCGAAATCGCGCCCAATTCCAAAAAATGGCAAACGGATTGAAATGAGAAAATCTCCGAAACGAACACGAGAAAAAGAAAAAGGAGAAATGAAACTCTAAAAACCTTCAAGAAATTCGCAAAAAGTAGAAGCTTTGTGTTTAGTGAATTGTTGGAAACAGAGAGAGAGAGAGAGAGAGAGAGAGAGACGGAGAGAGAGAGAAGAGAGTCAATCCTTTTTCTACTTTTTCTTCTTTATTAATGGAAGAACGGATATTGGGCATTAGAATAACACAACTAGCAATCTTCAGTAGAATATAAGCCTTAATAATGTCCCTTTCAATTTGGTCGCATATATAATACACACATACACACGCCTATAGATATAAGTGCACATAATTTTTGTACGATTAATAATTGTGTTCTTTTTTTTTTTTTTTTTTTTTTGAAGGGAAAGAAAAACTTTTTTTTGCCCTTTTAGCTTTGAAGGTCCGATTCGGTCTGTTTGTCTGTCTCGGACCCTTTTCTCTTACGTCAAACAAAACAACTAACTATCTGTCATATCCCCCTTCAATTTTACTTTTCATTATACAATAATTTATGATCTCAGTTGCTCAAATTACCTCACCCAAGTGGCTTTTTTGTTTTTTTCAATCAGCACCCAAGTGGCTTTTGATTACCAAATTCTCAAGAATGTAGGGTTAAAATATATTTAAACCTTCTCAACGGTCAGACCTCATTAAAAAATTAACCAATATAACATGTTGTTTTGACTAACGTATTACTTTTTTAAAGTTGAGTAGTTATGTGCAGTGCGCTGTAACTTTTTAATATGAATATGTATAAATTTTACTTTTAAAAACTTTTAATAGTAAATATAGGGTGTTTTATTGGTTGGTTTTTTTAAGAAATCTCACCGTAGAGACTCTTCCCTTTATTTAACATCATATTCTTTAATCTTTCATCGGCTTTCACTATGATGAGACCTTTTAAAAAAATTACTGGTGGAACACCCTATTTTAATCGTTAGAACACTTTTCTAACGGTTAGATCTGCAGAATGAGTAATTTTGTGTTGCGCACCGTAAATGTTTGATACGGACATGCACAGATCTGATTATTAAAAATTTAATCCAACAGTTAAAATATAGTGTTCTACTAGTAAATTTTTTTAAAGAGTATCACCGAAGAAACCCTTTAATCTTTAATCTAAAACGTTTGGTTAATGGATTCAGAATCATGATTCAGAACTATTTTTTATTTACATGTATTTTTTGTGTGAAAAAATACTGTAATAAATCACGAATCATAATTTGAATTATGGTACGAATACACCAAATAAACGCTACCGCACATCTATTACCAATTAAAAGAACCAAAGTGCTCCCTTCCCAAGGTTGCCACATGGCAACCCTTCATTTTCCCTTTTTTATTTTTTATTTTATTCTTTACTTTCTTTATCTTTTCAATATTTTGCTTATATTTTTTTATTCTATAAATTTTTTTTTCTTGTTTAATCTTTTTACATATATTTTAACACTGGAGCAAAGTTATAAAGAGGTTGTTTCTTTGCACTTAAACTCAAAAAAAATTTGAACTCAAGTTATAATTTTATTCAAGTTTATGTTTTTTTTTTTTTTTTTGTAAAATTTAAGTTTGAACTTGAATTTAACATGAGTTTGGAGTTAAAATCTGAGTTCAAATTTCTCATTCAACTTAAGTTCCTAAACTTAAACTCAAGTTAATGAACAATATTTTTTCTATTCTTAAAAACGCTTTAATTTTTTCGTTTTAATTCCGATTGAGATGATTTTCTTTTTATGCGTTCACAAAAAAAGACGAATAAAATCCTATCCATATACCCTATTGAAATTTTCCATTATCATTGAGTTTTTATTAAAATACTATCTAAATACAAACTCAAGTTTTGACCCACCCAAACACAAACTCAAAAAGATTCTCATCTCAAACCATAACTCAAAATGTACACAACCAAACACAAACTTAAGTTACAATTTCAACTCAAATTATAACTTAAATTCAACTCAAGATCTACATTCAAGTCACTATAACTCAAAAATACAACTAAATAAGCCCAAAATAATTCTTTACATGTGTAGTACGTACTTTAACTAGTACATAAAAATGAACAAGTTCTTTTGGGTGCATTTTCCTCCATTTGTCTAAGTGTCAACTCTACCTTTTTTTGCTCTTTTTTTTCTTTTCTTGTTCTATTTTCTTTTGTTTTCTTTTTTGTTCCTTTTTGTCAAAAGCTCCTCAACAATAAAGTTATTGCAATATCCTTTTTTGAAATACATTTTTACTTTGTTCCTATTAAAGTGATTTCTTACAAATATGTCTTTAATCTTTTTTCCCACCAAGAGATTCTCAAAGTTTTATTCCTTTTTTTATTATTTTTAAAATACATTTTCTTCCTTGATAGCTTATACTAAAATAATTTTTTTCTAAATTTATCTTATCATTTTTATTGAAACAAAGTCCCTTTTAACACTATCCTTGTCTGTAACATATCAACTTCTTTTCAAATAAAAAAAAAAGTATCAACTTCTTTTTTTCGTTTTTTCGTACTTTTTCTCAATTTTTCTTTAACATACTTAATCTATTTCCAATATGTACAGATTTAACTAAAATACATATGCATTTCTATCTTTTTACTTTTTTGTTTATTTTTAAATCTTATGTTTTTAAATGACCTTATTAAACCTTTTTTTCCCAAAACTGCTTTTGTTAAAGTAAATTTTCTCATATATATATATATTTTGTCTGACTATGATTCTCATAAATATTTTTTCCTAATTGCTCCCCTCAATAATATCTTGACGGATGTAACTTTGCTTAAACATTTTTCTCATTCAAGCTTTTTAAATATTTTCTTTATATGTATCCCATAAATAATTTACTTTCTAATTTTTTTCCTTTAAAAACTTTTCTCCCATTTAAATGTGCTCTTTTTTTTTTTTTTTTTGGCTAAACTCAACTATTAAGATGATAGTAAATACGTAAAACTAAATCCTAGAAAAAATTTTAAATTTTAGTTTCAAAAAGTTACAAAAAATGCACGCACGGGCGCACACTTTTAACTAGTATATATTGTTGGTTTCCAAATCGAATTTGGGTGCGGAAGTGTGGAAAGTCGGATGGGTTTGAATAAAAATTTTCATAAAACTTTTAAGAATGCTATAGATTATATTAATTTACATCCAATAAACTAATCTAATTAATTTAGTTCAGTAATTATACCTAGCCAACGATTAGGATGATAACTCTAGTCTTTGACTACGAACAATCCAAGTGCTCCAGTTTCTCAGACTACCAAGAATCTTCTTCGTCAATTCCTGAATTCTTTAGAGACTGTGTGGAAAATCGTTATCACTCGTCTCATTCCACAAACATCAATACATGTGCGATGTGGAACTAGGATTGGAAAAAACTTTTCTCCCGGTATTTCTCTCTAAAATTTCGGCCAGTATAGAAGGAGGAGCAAAAATTATTTTCTTCAAATTTCTACAATCCCTTATTTATAGAGTGCCTCTCAGACATCTATGGAAAGTCTACCTTATTACATAAGATAAAGCTTCCTGAAATTTTAGAGATAGTTTACCGTTTGAATTTTGGAACATTTTCCTCTCTCATGCACTGTAGAACTCAGCCACCACAGGGAAATACCCTTGTGGTTGGCGCTAGTGAAGAATACTTTTTTTCTTTACCCAGTTTCTAATTTTGACTCAAATTCAAATTCTAGTTAAAGTCATACTTTCCTTAAATTTGAATTCCAATTAGACAACTTGTCACATAAGTAAACCAGATAACTTAAAGAGCAAGCAAGTGAATCCCAATGAGTTTCCTCCCCGAGCCACACGCCCCTACAACGAGTGACTGGGCGTGTGGCCTTTGTGGTCCCACCACATTGTGCTTTCTAAAATTAAATTAAATTAAATAATCACATTATTTAATACATAATTAATTCCCAAATAATTATTTTTGAATGATATAATTTAGAATTTCATAATTCTAAATTTACTATTTTACCCTTAGTGTCTTGTAGAATTAACAAGATGACGCAGGGACTCATAGACCCATAATATCAAGCTCCACTAAAATTAATAATTAATTAAAACCTTTAATTAACTAATTAATTCTATTAATTCCAAAAGTTATTCTAGTATAAACTTGGAATTACACTCTTGATATTATAGACAATTAATTATATATGTGAAACGTCCATTTGATATAGTCACTTCGTATAGATTAATCATCCATAAATAATTCATAATTAGAGCTAGGTAAATCCGTTAACCTCTCTAATTACTTCTTTATCCTTGAGTACCATTGATTCTCTAATGGATAGTGATTCATAAAACAAATTCATGAATCGGAGCTCCCACTAATCCAAGTACCGATCAATCCTCAAGGGAATTATTTATCTTTTTTTTAATCAAGAATGAATGGATTCCATCTCATAATAATAATATTTTCAGCTACTTATTTCTTCATGTGTCCAAGATACAAGGAATACGATTTAGAATATCAAACTCTGTACCGAGTAAGTCAAAAGACACAAATCTATAAATAGGAGTTTGTTAATAACTCAGGATTAAGATCGTTCTATATATGACCATTGGTAGACTCAATTAGAATTTCTATACTTAACGGAAATTATCAGAAATTCATATTGTGTTTTATCCCAATACTATATAATCTCATTATGTAAAATACACTCATTCGATATCTCTCTATATCAACGATACGGATAAGCTCATTCCATTCTTAATGGGAATGACATGTATTAGTAATGTTTTAATTAAAGATTCCAAACTTAAATTCATTACGGACTAATTTCGATTATTATCCTTAAATATTGTCATTTAATATATAACACTTATATACCATTTTTAAGGTCACATAAATAATCGCAAAATTTTCAATGATATTCATAAAATATATAACAATACATGCACATAAATAATGAAATTTCTACTTTATTAATTAAATAATAAAATCTTTAATTACATTTCATACTTTCAAAACACTATTCCCAACATATATACACTTAGCCAAAGTGAAAATCATAAGTATGGCACCGTATAAT